GATCACTAAAATCGAGGTTGTAGCACTAAAATAGCACCAAAAAAAGCACTAAATTCTCCAATAGGTTTCATTCCATATTTCCGATGTGGGGGTGCCTACTGTACATACATCTAACCTTCGGGTGATCGGGCCAAGACTCGAATCAGGACCTCTTGCTATCCAAGCATGCTCTTTGTACCACTAACCCAGGTAATAATCACCGAGGTTCTTCCAAGATTTAGCCTATGGCATAGGTATGAAATATTAATCTTTATAACTCCAACCAACAGTAATACTGCCAACTTCTTATTCTCTTCTAATACTCTTGGAGTGATAAGGGTTAACTATCAAGGACGTAGAATAATGGCACAATTTCCGTAACAACTTTGGTAAAACCTCCGGCTAAGGTAGGTCCCATTATTCAAATTTTGAAATGAACATGGCGTTGGAAAATTTCCGGCCCAAAATTGGTTTGAACCTAGAGTGCCGTTATTGATGTGTTTCAATTCTTGATGGTTTACCATGTCGCGAGGAAATTTTGTTTGCCAATTTTGGTTCAAATCTGTGATCGGATTGACATCTGAACAACCCAGAATTCAGCGATCTTGGTCACAGGATCGAACCAGAGTTGGTTTGCAGTTTTCTGAAGACATGGCAAACCATCAAGAATAGGAATACGTCAATAACGGTATAAACTTAGCCCCAATTTTGGACCGGGCATTTTACAACGCATTGTTCATTTCGATATCTGAACGATGGAGCTGACTTTAGCTCCAGGTTTTACTCAGAATGTTACCGAACTTGGCGTGATACGTTTCTAGTATTTATTTTCTTAAATTTTAGATTTATTATAAGCAATATTGTGCCAATACTGGGTCACTCGTGGCTCGATAATAGCAAGACAATGGAGCATCAATTGTGGCCCAACTATGGCATATAAGTCCGTCCTTACTAAAATCGCTATTATCATTTCATATCTGAGTCAAACTTGGTTGGTTAACTTTGGCCAATGATGTACAATATTGGGCCAAAGTTGCGCCGTGTTTCAATTATTGTTTGGGAAGTTACCCAAGTTTTCCGCTGGTACTTTTCTCGAATTCTATTTATCGTTACTCGCGACGGAGGCGTTCCGATCCTACAACACTAACACAAACTTTATAATAATTACCATTAAGTCATCCGTTTTTAATTATAAATTATTGTTTGGCAGTCTCTTCCATATAGATTTTAAATTATACTATTCTATCTTCGAAAAATTTACAAATCCTCTAGCAAGTTCTTTTACTTATGAAATATGAAATATATACATATCAAATACACTAGATCGCTATGCGGAATTAATAAATTTACGCAATGATTCCTATTTAGTTTAGCATCCAGTTTCATAATACTATCCATTGTAATAATTCCTCTTCCGTATAGTAAATCGCAAGATATGACTAGCGAGCATTCCAATGTATTGTTGCGATAAGAACGGTACATGTAGCAATTTTGTCGTTTTACTATACGGTATTGCAAAGAATTCTAGGCTCGGGTATCGCTGCGGTACTTGCTTCAATAACAAATAATTTTTTGTGGCTGCTGTTTTCGCGGAGTAGCGGCAATAAAAACGCGGACACTTTGCGGCAAAGAATCTAAGATGGCTGACGACTTATCGGCAGATTGTGCATACCGAGGCTGTCCAACGGTTTCGTACTCTTCTTTTCGTCCCTTTTACGTGTACATCCAAGCACGAGCATAAATGAGCGTGTCATTCGGTAACGGGAAGTCATACGTACGGGATCCAGTAATGATTTATCGGTCGTATAATCAGTGTTGGAGAAATCTCCGTCTCGGCAGCGTTGAAGAGAGGAGGGATAGGGCGCATGGGAAACGGGAAGTAACGTAGAAACGGCGCGAGACAATTCACAGGCGCATTTTCTTGCACAAACGGAGTGCGTTTGTTTGCGAACAACGGGTCCTGAGAGTGATTGTCAAGGAGGGGAGAGGATAAGCGACGCCTTCCGCTGTAATCAGTAATTGGCAAATCGTCGTTAATTGCCGATCCCGGGAAACTCGGTTGACGGTTCTCGTCCGCCATTTTCCCAGACTCGTTTGGCTCGAGATCTGGACCGGATTGGAAACGTGTTCTTCTCCCTGATTAGCAATATTAGTATTAGTACAGTAATCAATTGGTAACCCCTCGGGCTCATCACTCTATACATTAAAAGCGCTAACAGCATATACTTTGTTATTATCGCGAAGTGTGCGGAACTAGTCCGGTGGTATTCTCTCGTCGTCTCTTTTGGGCATCATTCATAGCAGTGATTTCCTATAAACCGGAACAGTACATCTTCGGAAGCTGCATGAGGTGTACCACAAGGAACCTGGCTAACCACTACTCATAAAGATGGTTAGTTTGAGCTCAGGCAATATGGAGTAATAAATGCATTCCGCAATTTCAAGGGCAACTGAATAAATCTTAATGTAGCGCCTTAAATTTTTTAATTATTAAGCAATTAGACAGGGAAGTATGCACGAACATGTATCTTGACTAATACGATGTTGGTATCGGGCACTCATATTTTTGCACTTTTAACAGTATGACGAAAATGTACGAAAATGGTACAAAAAATGCAAAGAAATTTCGAAGACATCTGTGGTTCTGGAGTAAAATTATTCACATGCACCGCAGGGAATCTGGGTAACTATTATTCGTAAAGATGTTTAGTTTGAGCCCAGGCAATATGGAGTAATAAATGCGTTCGGCAATCTCAAGGTCAACCGATTAAATCTTAATGTAGTGCCTGAAATTTTTGATTTATTAAACAATGAGACAGGGAAGATGCACGAGCATCTGTCTTGACTAATACGTTGTTGGTATCGGGGACTCGTATTTATGAACTTTTAACAGTATGACGAGAATGTACAAAAATGATACAAAAAATGGGAACAAATTTCAAAGACGTGTGTTGTTCTGGAGTACAATTATTCACATGCACCACAGGGAACCTGGCTAACTATTATTCGTAAAGATGACGAAAATGCACCAGAATGGTACAAAAAATGTGAACAAACTTCGAAGAAATGGCCGGAGCAAAATTATTCACATGCAAAGCACTTCACGTTATCGAAACCGAAAGGACGGGAATGACATATGTTTTCGGAATACCGAATGATCCGCGTCATAGCGAGTTGATTAATATTGGACGATCCATTATGCCAGTATGATAACTGGTCGTTCGTGACTTAATTTCGAATTATTATGGGCCGCTGAATCCTCGTCTCGCATACGTGATTTAATAAATCGTTTCGGAACACTCTCTTTTCCACTCGAGGACCCAAGCTGGTTTTGGAACGAGTTTATCAGATTAAAGGTTCGTGGCGGACAATGGTAACGGCAATTTTGGTAATTGTTGTTACGTCACAGAAAGTGAGTAGATCCAGAAATTTCATACATCGTAGCCCGTAATTAAAACAAAAGGGGAAGTTTTGTTGGATTTATGCATCGCGAGTCTTCCTGGTAGTATGGACGTCGAATATGGATGAGGATACACAAGCCGGTTCGTTGAATCTATGGCTATGCCTCTTTCCGAATTTATTTCAACCATTTAGTAAGTCAATCTACGTTATCAGAGATGATGATCGTTACTTTATAATCTTACCACATTTATTACATGATGATGATTTACTAGGTTGCTAATAGTAATATCTCACCATATGCTAATCGGTCTTTGCTCGGCGTTCACTTGATTCTAATAGATCCACCTGCCACGTTTCCCTCACCGTATATTACTTCTAAATCATCGATGTTGATAATAGATATCACTTCTAAATCATCGATATTGACAATAGATATCACTTCTAAATTATCGACGTTGACAATAGATATCACTTCTAAATCATCGATGTGGATAATAGATATCACTTCTAAATGATCGATGTTGAAAATAGATATCGCCCCTAAATCACCGATGTTGACAATCGATATCACTTCTAAATCATCGATGCTGACAATAGATATCACTCCTAAATCATCGATGTTGACAATAGATATTACTTCTAAATCATCGATGTTGACAATAGATATCACTTTTAAATCGTCGATATTGACAATACATATCACCCCTAAATCATCGATGTTGACAATAGATATCATTTCTAAATCATCGATGTTGACAATAGATATCACTTCTAAATCATCGACGTTGACAATACATATCACCCCTAAATCATCGACGTTGACAATACATATCACCCCTAAATCATCGATGTTGACAATAGATTTCACTTCTAAATCATCGATGCTGACAATAGATATCACTCCTAAATCATCGATGTTGATAATAGAATGTCGTTAGATTTCATCTGAATCACGATTTCTGCGTTACAAGCAGTCGCATAGAATAATTGATCATTACTGCTAATCTGAAATTGTTTACGCGATTGTTTGTTTATCCACCTCATAACTTGAAATCTGATCGATTCTTGGTTTTGAAATGTTGAATTTAGTCTCGGGGCTAACACGTGTTTTTAGAGGAAAAATTTAGTTGCAGCTAAACGTCACAGATGGCGACGTTGGTCCTAAACAGTCGTTAGAATAATGAACTCACGGGATTTCGACAGTTTTACGTCAATCTCATCATTATTATTTGATTGAAATGACATATGGTACGCTTCAGTTCGTATAATTATCAACGTAGACTGTACAACACTTGAACATGAATATAAATGTTGGTAACGTGGCGTGCCAACTTATGTTACCACTTGAGTATCCAAAATGGCGTTACCACTAAAAAAGGGTGTAGATAAATTTTATTTTATCAACATCGATTAAATTTCTCAGCGCCTTTCATATCACCATAAGCATTATACTACGAAATGAGAGGCTGACGCGCGATATGAACAAAATTATTATTCTTATTAAGAGGAGATATGATCAATTTTAATATTAATAGTAATAAATACAATTAATGTTAATAAACACAATCTGAGAATCAGGTATACGATATTAAATTGATATATTATGTTCTCTTTTGCAGTGACGAGCCTATTATGCCAATGATACCTCTGGGTCTGAAGGAAACGAAAGACATCGATTTTCGAGATCCATTCAAGGTGAGTTGTTCCACAAGCTTATAAAATTCTTACAAGGACGGTATCCCAGGTCGATCTCTCCGATTTGATTTCTTTTATAATATGTTATAGTAGACTAAAAACTAAGTGACACGTATTTTTTTATCTGCCATTAAACATTTTAAGGGGGTGAAACCACCATCCAAAGTAAGCATGACATGCATGCATGCCGTGCAAAGTAGGCATGTCAAGGGGCGATTTGGCAGTTTCACCCACAAGAACATAATATTTTTTAACCGACCCACCTGGAAAAGCTTTCTCATAACGAAAAAAGAAAAATATAATTTTCCCAATTAAAAAAAGTAATTAAGGGGTGAGCCTTACTTTGGATGGTGGTTTCACCCACTTAAGGTGAAATAAAACCCCCTTCAAATTAGTCGATTCGAATACAACACCTTTTTTTAAGGGTATTAGACGAAACTGTCCGAAACTTTGACACATGACTCATGATCATCTAAGAATTGTTCTAATACATTCAAAATTTGGATTTTTTGAACAGATTTTTAAACTTAGTTCAGACCAGAACCAAAATGGCGTCGAGCTCTCATATTTCGATCCGTATACAATTATCGAAGGCTCTGATATGAGAAACAAAAGGGTCAGGACAATTTTACAACAATTTAGAACACTCTGGTAATCGATAAACTCGCATTTGAACGGGATAAAGGCAAAAAAAGTGTTGTATACGCTTCTATGCTAAAACGATTGCAATACGAGGCCTCGGAGTGAAAATTTAATTGACCTGGAAATCGTAGATGGCGCAGAGTGTCCCTCTGCAGTCAATTAGGGCTCCAGAAAGCATGAATCCAGAGGATTTCTGGAGTTTTACTTCAATTTATTGATATTTATTGTACGAAAACCCTCGGTGGAGTATGCTATTTGGTACAATACCCAATATAATTCGACACAACTGTCAATATAAGAACGAACATCGGCAACGTAGACATTTATAAAAATCTTCTTCATCAACGTCGATCAAGTTCTTCGACTGGTTTCACTTCACCTTAGTGTTGAATAGCAGATAAAAAAAGTACGTGTCGCTTAGTTTTGAGTCTACTATAACATATTATAGAAGAAATCAAATCCGAGAGATCGACCAGGGATTGTTAGATTTCAAGTCTGCAAGGGTTGGTACTTTGTTATTCAAGAGGCGGCACTTCAGGGTTGTCGATAAAACTTTCATCTATTTCTTCCTCTGTCTCATTGTTTTTCGCCTGCAGCTGTTTCAATTTATTGTCAATAATTTTGGAAAAGTCCATGTCGTCTTTTGGAGGGCCAATTTCAAGAAGTTCCCGTTTAGTCATTGTTAACCCAGCTTGTACGACCTTTTTAGTGATTGCCTTTTTCGAAACAGACTCTCGGCGACTTTCGGGCTTACTAATTACATTTAACGAGTTAACTCTCGGCATGGTCACCATTAGATGACCAGTTACCACATTTCTCTTAACGGAACTGTTGTCTATCTGGACCTCGCATGGCAAAGTTAATTGGAGCACTTTACCTTTTATGGTAACTCGCACGTATCGGGGCTGTACATCGACGTCTAGGTACGATGTATCCAAGTATCTAGAAAAAGAATAAAACAGTTATATTAAAGAAGAGGATAGTGTTTCCGATAATGGGTCTTTACAAAATGTAAAAGAGCCGAGATATTTACATCTTACCTGTATACAGCCACATCCAGAATAATGTTATCGCGATTGTCTTCGTCGTTAAGTGTGAAAGCCACTTTAGGCTGGTTAATGTTGTAGGGTCTGCCATCCGAAGCGAATAATTTAGTCATCAATTTCGGCTTCTCTTCCGTTGTAAAAGGTTTATTCTTTTTTTCTTCGATCTTCATCGCTTTCTCAGCAATGGCGATGCGATCTTCAGGCGTATGATGACTAATGCCATTCCAAAATTTATTGTCTTCTTCCTCTTCAACCTCGATCTAATTAATATTCGTAATCAATGAAGACTTGCTCTATACCATGTCTCACAACGTAGTAAATAATTAATTATTTAAAGTACATAATATATAAATTTGACGCGTGGATTTTTTATATACAAACTTTATTGTAATTTTGATATATTTATAAATTAAATTTATTGAAAAATTTAGTATACTTCCAACTTGGCGAAAAAATGGAAAATATAATTCATTTTCCAAAATTAAACAGTTCATGAAAGGAAAGGGTGAAGAAGGCACAAACTTTCTCGTTTAATATGAATAGATTAAGGACTTAATTAATCAGTTTACGTAATTCTTGTTGGAATGTCGTAATTATGGGATTTTATTATGTTTTTGTGGCGTATCTGACAAGGTAGGTATCCCAGGTCGATCTCTCCGATTTGATTTCTTTTATAATATGTTATAGTAGACTAAAAACTAAGCGACACGTATTTTTTTTTATCTGCCATTAAACACTTTAAGGGGGTGAAATCACCATTCAAAGTAAGACATGTCAAGGGGCGATTTGGCAGTTTTACCCATAAGAACATAATATTTTTTAACCAATCCACCTGTAAAAGCTTTCTCATAACGAGAAATGAAAAATGTAATTTTCTCAATTAAAATAAAAAATTAAAGGGTGGGCCACCCCTAAAAATGATTACGTTGATGCAAAAAATGGTCAAATTCAAGTCTAAAAATCTTAAAAAATATGTTTTGTATGAACACGAAGGAAATACGACGTGTCTTTGGATTTTCCCGAAAAAAAATATTAACCGGGGCAACTACC